GAAAAGAGCAAAGTGGAGAATATGTGTATAACACGGTACACCGAGGCCCAGGGATTTAGCTCAGTGGTTTCGCCACCTGCTGCGCAAGCTCAAGGACCCGAGTTCGATCCCCGGTACCAAAAAACAAAACAACCAAACATGGTACATGGAAAGGAAAATTAGGAAAACTGCCAGTTTATCTTAATTGTCTATCTGACTGGATTAAGAAATTCCTGGAGGGCCGGGGATTTAGCTCAGCAAGCGCAAGGACCCAAGTTCAATCCGCGGTACCAAAAACAAACAAACAAAAAAGAAATTCCTGGAGGAGTGATTGAATCATGGGGACTCTATACTCATCAGCGGATTAATCCACTGATGTTCACAGCTGAATGCGCTGTTGCAAGCTGGGCCTCAAGGGACGAAATGCGTCACTGGGGGCCGCCCTGGGAAGATGTATCTGACCCTGATGCTCTTTCCCTGCATTCTGCTCCCGGCCTCCATGAAGTGAGCTTTCCTCCACCACACCCTTCTGCCATGCTGTTTCTGCCTTGGAGCCAGCTGACCACGGACTGAAACCATGAGCCAAACTAAACCTTTCTTCCTGTAAGTTGCAGGTGTCAGGTATTTTGTCCCAGCAATGGGAGAGCTGATTGATACAAAAACTATTTGTGTTTCTATTTTCTTGTGTGTGTATGTAAAGAATCTTTGAAAGAACTCAGGAAGAAATAAGATCAGTACTTTGCTGTGAAGAATAGAAGGAGGCAAATGTGAGACAAAGAAGGGAGAGAGAATTTTTGCTGACTGTTTATACTACCTGGACCTTTAGCTATGATGATGTAGTACAGGTTGATCATCCCTGACCCAAATACCTAAAATCCAAAATGCTTTAAATCTGGGAGGCCAGGGATTAGCTCAGTTGCACCAAACTTGCCTGGCGAACACAAGGTCCTGAGTTTGATTCCTGGTACTGGGTGTGTGGGGGGGTGCTCTAATCTGAAACTTATTAGGGTCACCAACATAACTTCACAAGTAGAAAATTCCATACCATGAATTTTTTTTCATGAACAAAATTATTTAAAATACCATATAAAATTATTTTCAAGGGGCCAGGGACTTCCTCACAAGCACAAGGTCCTGAGTTCAATCACCAGTAGCAAAAATTAATTAATTAAATTATTTTCAGGCCGTGTGTACAAGATGTATATGAAATAAATTAACTACATGTTTAGATTTTAGTCTCATCCCCAAGAAATCTCATTATGTGTCTATTACGTGTACATTCCCAAATTCAAAAGAAATCCAAAACACTTCTGGTCCCAAGCATTTGAGATATTGGATACTCAATCGGTTGCTATTTGAAAATATTTTAAATAACTGAGAAGAGAAAAATAAGTGTCAGGTGCCTATAAATTACAGCCCTTCAGGTCTGAATGCCAGGAAGGCAAGGTTGTCCAGGTAACTATTGCCAGAAAAGGAAATAATGTAGAAGTCGGGCCCTTAGGGGACAGCAGCACTGAAGGGGCAAGTCAAGAAGAGGTAGTAAGGGGCAGTTAGGAAGGCAGAAGACCGGAGAGGCAGGTGGCCCCGAAGGTATATAATGGTCTCGTGGCAAAATGATAAAGTGCAGGCGTAAGCACTAGGCAGCCGAATGGTTTCTGGGATGATATATTTAAGCAGATCGTCTGTATTGTGTTTGCACTTTCTATAGGAAATATATCACTTAGTTACATTTCTTTTCCTGGAATTCCTTTCTCTCCTGTCAGTGCAGCCTGATTTGAGATGTAAATAAACTGTGGAGAGAATGCCCCAGTCTCTCATACTCTGAATTCTACCACCAGCCCAGATGAGAAAGGTGATGAATGTATGAAGGCTGCTGTATAATCTCTTCTGTTTTAATACTCGATTATCGTGTCCCTCATCTTCCCCAGACCTGAAACTCAGCACATTAAAATTTCTTTGTTCCTTCCACAATGCTTATATCTCCATTGCATCTCTAGCCTCCTTTAATATTGTTCATTATTAAAATGAACACAAAAAAACAATTACTCAGGTGGCAGGAGGAGTCGTCCCGAGCCCACCCAACCACACTGAGAGCCAGGGTCCTTGTTCAGATGAATTACAGCCCACATGCCCAGCCGAGCCCCTCACCTGCCCTCGAGCTCCTAGGACCCACCACCGGCTCAGCCACATGCACTTTAGACACTGACAGCCACTTAATTCAGTGCGTGTTTGTTAACACCAAGTGCTGCAGGAGGGCCAGGCAGTGGTGCAAGCCAAGCCCTTGCCAGTGCAGCACTTAAGAACAAGCAATTAAGGACATAGACTCCCAGAGTGGCTGAGTTCAAGTCAGAACTCTGCTACTAAAGCTGTATGATCTTGGACAGATTCTTCACCTCTCGATTCCTTGTGGTTCCCATTTGGGAAAATGGAAATAAGAATAGCACCCACCTGTTGTGGGTTGAATGGTGTCCTTGCTCCAAAATAAATATGTTGAATTCGTAACCCCAGTACCTGTGAATGTGACCTTCTTTGGAAGTAGGGTCTTTACAGGTATAGTCAAATTAAAAAGTGATACAGAATGAGGATGGCTGCTGAATTCAATGACTGCTGTCCTTCTGAAGACAGAGGGAATTGGAGACATAGATACAGTCATCTGGAGGAGAAAGCTATGTAACCACAGAGGCAGAGACTGGAGCGTGAAGTTTTAAGCTGCACCAGCAACCACTGGAAGTCAGAAGAGGCAGAGAAACATCCTTCTCCAGAGCCATCGGAGGGACCATGGCCCTGCCAACCCCTTGATTTCAGACCTCTGGCCTCCGTGATTATGAGAGAACATGTCCCTGTTGTTTTAAGCCAGCCAATTTGAGGTAATTTGTTACAGCAACCCTGGGAAACAAACACACCATCTCAGAGGGTTGTGTGAAGATGGAGTCTACATGCATTCTTGGCTTGCCTAGAATAATGTCTGACATCTAGAGAATCATGCACAAGTGAAGCATGATTGCTCGTGTTCATTCCCATCATCGTTTCTCTTGTTATTGCTGTTGTTTTGCCCCATGAGCAGGCACATGTCCCTCATCACGTTAAATAGCGGACAAATGGATGCGCTTCTTGCCTGCTATATTCACAGAACCTGGAGCTTCAGATTGGCCAACAGCTCTTAGTCCAGCCCTGGCAAGGGAAGAAGCCAAAGTCTCCTGCACACAGTGCTTGAGTCACCCTCGCAGGGGAATTGCAAGAGGGGAGACGTCAAGGGCATGTGTGTCAGTTGGCAACTTGAAAACACTGGGCTGCTTTCTGTTAGACTGCTCATCCTGAGGGTAAGAGTGGATTCCTTAGTCAACCCCAAGTAGTTAGGCCAAAAGGTAGCAACAGTGGGATAGGATAAGATTCTTGGAGTCAGGCTGGTTCAAATCCCACATCCTCCACCTACCAGCTCTGTTACCTTTGGCATTTCTTTAACCTCTGTGAACCTCAGTTTCCTCATCTGTAAAATGGGCAAAGGCTAACAAAGAGACATGCACAATAATGTATAGTACAGGTAGATAGTCTGGAGAGACTGAGAAAGGGAAGTTTCTTCAAATACAAGATCTTCTGAAGACACACACTCAGTCTGATGTCTCTGAGATTATTCCCTCAGCCCACTGCAATTATCTCTTCACTGTAATCATGTCTCTCTGTGTAGGCCAAGATCCTCCAAGAAAGAGGATGTATGTTCCTGGGACTATGGATGGCCTAGAACAGCATATCTGTGCAATAAAAACACATTTTGAGCAAAGTGATAGCTTAACCCAAAGTTTCCCAGTCTTAAGACATTTACGTTTCAGCTATATGGTTTCTGCTATATCCACTTACTACCCAGACTCTTGTTTTAATAATAGTTGCCTTTAAATCAGGAGCCGGCTAACCACGGCGAATAGGCCACATCTGGCCATAGTCGTTCCCGTATTGTCCATGGCTTTCAAGCTAGGACAGCAGAATTCAGTGGTTGCAACAGAGGCCATTTAACCCACAAAACCAAAAACATTTACTCTCTGGCCCTTCATGGAAAAAATTTGTCAACTCCTGCTTTAAATCAACTCACTTTTTAATGTAAATATATTTTTAAATAGAGAACTTTATATAGCTAATGTCATTGAAAATCACTATTCCTTGCCGTAAATGGGAAATAATGATAAAACGAAGATGTAACTATTATGATTAGGGTGAGTCACAGAACACACACAGAGCAGTAAAAGGACCAGGATTTATAACTGGGGAATCAGGGGACATAGGGAAAGGAGGTACTGGGACTGGACATTGCAGCTATAATAGAATCACAGCTCATCACAAAAGAACAGAGTAAATAAAGGCATAAAGGAAAAAGGACACTGGGAACAAAAAAAATTCTTTTCAACCTCTGAAAGTAATAAGCACAATTCATAAACTAGATTAGAAAAGAGGTTCTCAGCAGATTTATAATGAAGCAGCTGATGCTAATGAGAGCAATAACATTCAAATAGAAATCTGTTTACCTTTGGGAAATTCATACATAACTTTGACGCTGCACTGATTGATTTAAGGGCCAGGGACGGACTGATTAACCTTCCTGGGCTTTCTGTTTTTGAAGGATAGTTGCCTGGGATTCTAAACCGTGCTGAGGACTCCATCACCTGAGCGATGAGGAGCGACTGGCACCAGGTGGGACAGTGGTCAGAGCAACCAACCGGTTCATATGCTACAGTTCTTTCCTTTATGAGCACTGCAGGCTTGTTGGAAAACCAGAAGAAAGCTATGGCCCTCCTTTTCAGAAAAATGCACAGAAATAGACACACCAAAACTTTTGCATTTAAAATGTTCCACATTGGAAATGCATGTCCTGCACATAAACAGAAGTTAAAGGCAATCTATTTTTTAAAGTCTTGGTCTTATTATTTTATGACTTATTCTAGAGGGACTGGCTACAAAATTGTAAATAAAACACAAATTTTTCATTGTTCTCAAAATCACATTTTAATGAAAACATCACATTGCTTGCCGTGAAAAAAAGGTTGCAATTGTGGAGCAGTCTCTGATACCAATACCAAATCAGTTGCAAATTTTCATTTAAATGCTATCAAGGGTCCAAACTTCAGAACCCAAAAGGATATATAGGAGAAGACAAAATTAACATTCCCATTGCTCATTTTACCATGTGAGAGTGGGATTATGTAAGTAAACACCAAGGCCTCTAAGATTTTTTTAAATTAAATTCATGTTGTGTGTTTTCTTTTGTACTTAAGTTAATGAGCTGGGTCAATGAGTGAAAAATTTATCAATCTATGTTTAGATCCAAAGGTGGTCTGAGAGTGAGTGTTTCAAGGTGTCTTCAAATACAGCAAACCAAAAAATGTATCAGCCTCTCGCCCTCAACTCCAGTCTGCAGAAGCACTTCAGTTTTGCAGTTCGTGGACCTATTCCTCTGTAGGTTAACTATTTGGCCCAAAGAGCTCATGGATTTTCTGCAGCAATCATCATAGACACCAAAGGACCTGGAATGGGAATATTTGCATCATTCAAATGACCAATAATGTTTTTCCAAGTAAGGCCAGTAGTGAAAAAACAATCCCTGCCAAATTGTTCTGAGAGGGAGCTGTTCAGTTTTTCACAAAAGTGAAATTTTCACCCCACATTCAATCAAGAACTTAGGGATTTGTTTTCTGGCCACACAGTTACATATAAACAAGAGGAACATAATATTCAGCATCTATCCTGTGACAAAAACTCCTCAAAAGACCAGCTTTCATGGCACTAGACAAGACTCCTTTCAGGGTTTTGGCCAAGTCTCCATGCCAGTTGCAGAAAGTAATGAAGTGTGAATGAGTCTCCAGCAAGGCAAAGAAGCCATATGTGTTGTGCAGTGCGCCAGACGCGGCCTTCCATACCCAGACACTTTTCCCAGTTAAAGTTATGCCTGAAAAAAAATAAACTTTCCAGTCATAGATGTTTCCAAAGGGATCCACCAAAAGAAAATGTTTCTTTTGAAGGTGTCAGAAGGCACATAACGAATGAAGGTAGCTCTACACTGAAAGGTGTTGGCAGTTCCACGCAGTTACAGACCAAAGGAAAGAGGAACTGCTCCAATTTCTGCTTTAAAATATCAGGGGGAAATGTTCATCTTTCACAGTACATGAGGTTATTTCATAAAGGCATTACTTTATTGATGTCTCCACTCCAAGGCATAAACCAAGTAGATCATTGCTAGGGTGCTGTATTTTCCAAACCATCCCTTCACGTTCAGATCTCTGTTGTTTGACTATGTGAGGGGCAAAGTTGTAGGCTCTTGCAAGACTCACCATTAGGGCTGGGACGAAGACAAACTCAGGTGGAGTTTCATCCTTTCCAGATCTAAGCTCCTTCTCAAGGAGCACACCTACACGGCAAGACACTTCAGGTGGAAGTTGCTTCTTCACTCTGGTTATCTTTTGCAGCCATTAACAAGTAATTTCCATCCCAAGAACCACTGTGGCTTTAGCATCCCATTACGTTCAGTAATGAAAGTGAAAGCCAGAAATACATAAATTGCAACATGTTTTTATTTCATCATGCTTCCCAACCAAGCCAAGCTTAATATAAACCAAGATAGACTTGCTTTAACATCATAATAAGAGATTTGAGGTGTGATTGAAAAATTCTGTCAATATTTAATTTTTTAAAAAGTAACGTAAAAGATATGTTGTCATTAACCCCACTCAAAATATTCCCCCTTGCTTCAAATACACTTATCCCACAATTCCTGCCACTTTCGGAAGCAATTTGGAAATCTTTTGTGAGTGTCTTTGGTTGTGGCATCATGGCTGCCTCAATGTCCTGAATCAATTTAGAATGCTCACAGCAATCCCTATCAAATAAAAACATGATAGTGTGTCCTCATCCACCTTATCTACCAGACCTGGCACAGAGAGAGTTCTGGCTCTCCCCTAAAGTCAAAATGGCCATGGAAGAGGACTTTCAGAACTGCTTCAGAAAGTGGCAAGAATGATGGGATAAGTGTGTTTGAAGTGAGGGAGAATATTTTGAGGGAAATTAATGGCCATCTGTCTTTCACTGTAATTTTTAAAAATTTAAACATTCACCATATTTTTATCACATCTTCTGCCTTCTCTCATTTCTCAATGATAATCTAGGTATCCGCACAGGACAGCCATAAACTTTGTCTGTATGACCTCACCAAGCAAGCATCCTCTTTCACACAGAATCCTTTGGGATGAAACAATGCATACTAAACAAATATACCTTACTTGTATAATTTTACAATAAAAATTTTTAAAGAAATAACTTCGAAGTAACAGAAAATAAAACTAGAAAAAAAAGATGTGTGTGCTTATATGCCTCCCCCCATCTCTCATTAAGAAAGTTTGCTATTGACATTGACTACACCACAGTTACTGTCACAGCAACTTCCAGTGGGAAAATCAAGTAGCACTGTAATGCGATGTTCTGGCCAACTGGATCAAGGGACACAGGCCCATGGTCAACATGTACTTCAACCCCAATGCACCCCATATTTCCCGCTCTTCCCTCTGCTTTTATACTTCGATATTGTCTGACTTCTTATGTATGGGTAGAGCCATCCACTGATTAGCCAACATCTCCTTTGTGAACCTGTAGATCCCACACTCTAACAACATGGACCCCTCCCTTTCCTCCTGAGAACCAGTGTAGCTTAGTGCTCTAGTGAACAGCTGTGAAAGTCAGATAGGCCAGGTTGGATTCCCAGATCCATTATTTTATTACTTTAATAGCTATGTGACTTATTTAATTTTTCTAAGGCTTTTCCTCATCTGTAAAATGGGAATGAAAGGAAATAATGTATCTCTAAAGGAGTCTGAATCTAATTTGATGCCTAACTGCAACAACTTCCAAGTGCCAGCCTTTCTTCCTCCCCTTTCTGACCACATCTGAGCACAATGATGAGAAAGCCTGTGGGTGGAAAGAAGTTCAACACCATGTGAGCCTTGGCTTGTAAGCAAGAAGCCCCACCGCAGCCCTAACCTCTGCCATCAGGGAACCAAGCCAGTCTCCCTCCTTGCTCCCTCGAGCCATATTGGACCTGCTTAGGATGGCTTCCTGCTCTCCCCTGAAAGCTTCAGCATATGAGTGCTACACCTTGTCATACTCATGTATGTGTGTGTGCGTGCGTGTGTAAATTTGGGGTGATAATGTCCATCCCACCTCTTCAAGCTGACCACAACAATGAATGCTGTGAGCAGTGTGTCCAGGCACTGACCACCACCCCTAGGAGTTATTCTTCTCCTGCCTTGGCCTACAGACCGGCTCTGCTGCCCACTGGCAGCCTCTCGGGAGCTGCTGCTGGCTGGCGTGCTCTGTAAGTTGGGCCGCTGCCTGCTGGCTACCTTGTACTTTGAGCTGAACTGCTGTGCACTGCATTTGCTGAGTTCTTTCAAGTCTCCTCATACATTTAACCAACCTAAATCAGCAGTTTCAATAATTAGTGTTAAGAACAGAAGGAATGGCAGGGATCTTCCTTAAAATGCCCTTCGGTTGTGTGCCTTCAGCTGGAGCCTTCTGTGTGTCTCATATTGAACTGCATGCCTCAGTTCCAGTACATGCCGTGACCACCACTAGATTGAGGGGAATGACTCTGTTACCACGTGTTGTATGCCTCCAACAGACTTTATCCCCCATTTTATACAGTGCTCAGGGAAAAGACTGACATCCTGTGCAATACACGTCCTCATTGGGTGGCCCCTGTATGGAGAACATGTCGAAGTCATGCTCCTAAAAACATGTAGCTAACTAGGACCCCACAAAACAGTTTTGCTCCTGCTGCTGCCTATGTCTCTGCCACAGTAAAGATCTTCATCCTCAGAGTTATAGGAAAAAATATCTCCAGTATTCCCGTGATACAGCCAAAGGGTTAGTTTAAACTCTATTTAAGCCCTGGGTTTTTAAACCCAGTAAAGCAATCATTCCACAAGGGAGGCCTCTAATCCTAACTATATTAATTTGAGGCTGTGTGGAGGGAGAAAGTTCTAAATATATGCAAGGTAGCAACTTTTTCTTTGAAGTCCATCCAGTAACCACCATGAGTAATAGTCATAATACCTGGAGAGAAGAGAAGAACAACAAAAATGCTGAAAGACTGATCCACAATTTGACTCAATTGGGAATTCAAAATTTACTAAAAGAATTTATATGATAAAAATCTAAAAAGGGACAGATTGGCTTTTGCAGCTCTACAGCATAGATTCTGAATTAACTTTAACATCTACTGAGATGAATCTGTTGGCAAACTTTCACATGCTTTACCAAGATAGAGCCCCAAATTTTAGTTACCCTTGGGGATCACACTAACTATACACAATGTACTCCCTATAATCTTATAGGAGTTACTGAACACTAAAATAAAAGAGGAGGAGTTGGGGTGTAGCCCAGGGATAAAGCTCATGCCTGGCATGCACAAGGTCCTGGGTTCTATCCTCCACACCCCCCAAAAAAGACTAATAGCTATGTTTCTCCTTAACCATCAGACTGTTAACTATTGCCTTGTCTAAATCCCCTATAGTGAAAAACTCATTGCCCTAAATACCCCATTATTAGGCATGGATTGTCTGACCCAATATGTAATAAAGTTAAATTAAGTGTCTCACATTTACACAATTGGCTTAACGAAAGTGGAACTCCATTGACCTCGCTGATCCATTAGAATATTTGTTAAGACCCATATAAACTGGGTCTGGTGGAACTCCTAGAACTCCAGCAGTCTGGGATTCTGAGACAGGAAGAAGTTTAAGCCCAGTCTGGGCAACTTAGTGACTTAGCAAAACCTTGCCTTAAAATTTAGGAAAAAAATTTTTTTAAAGACTGGGGATATATAGGTCAGTGCAAAGGCTCAGGATACAGTCCGCAGTATAAATAAATAAATAGGAACAAGGCATTTAAGGATGAAATCCATCATGTAAGATCTATTTAAAAAGAGGGAGTGATCACAACTTTTATCCATTGAAAAACCCAGTTTGGCCTGTTTTTAACCTTGGAAGGAAGGAAGGAAGGAGGCATCACCATGGATACTGCAATCTTGACATCATCAGAGTCCTACACCAGTACTTCAAGTGTTCTACCTATTCTATCTTCCAGCAGATTTAGTGTTTCTCTTTTAATAAGTAGATCTTTGATCCATTTTGGTTTTAGTTTAGTGCATGGTGAGAGATATGGGTCTAGTTTTAATCTTTGGCATGTGGAAGGTCAGTTTTTGCATCACAATGTATTAAACAGGCTATCTTGCTTCCAGTGAAAGTGTTTTGCCAAAGATGAGGTGGCTGAATGTCTTTGGAGTTGTTTCTGCATCTTCTAGTCTGTTCCATTGATCCTCAGATTTTTTTTCCAGCACCATGCTGTTTTTATCATTGTAGCTTTGTTGTATAATTTCAAGTCAAGGGTTATGACACCCCTGCCTTGCCTTTGTTGCCCAGAATTGATTTTGCTATTCTAGGTCTTTTCTGGCTCCAAATGAATTTTAGGATTGTTT